TGTTGCGGTGTCCCTGCCTGTTGGCGAATCTTATAAATCATAAATCAAATCATAGTTGCACAGTGAGATCTCCATGTGAGAATGATCCTGAAAAGGACTGTTGCCAGTGATGAGAGAGACTGGTGTTTGCACAAATTGAGTGAAAGTTATGATCAGTGACGTGTTGCCTAAATATGTAAACAATGACTTGAAATAGAATTGGGCAAAATTCATAATTGAACATGTAACATCATAAATGAAAATGTTCCCCATACCTTAGATTGTCTCGTAGATTCTTTATCTTCAGATTCAGACTCTCGCGATGATGATGATGATTCATCTTGAACCTACCAATTTAAAAGATGACTGTAATCATTAATATCCAATTTCAGTAAACAATTATTATCATGATAATGAATTTGAATATATGAAAATCATATATATGTGCTACAAGTTTCATGAAATGTAAAAAAGCGATCTTTGCAGTAATTAAATGAACCCTACTTATATAGTAGTGGAAAAAAGACCTAAATTTTTTCAGGCCTTGTTTCCGCTACTACATAAGCAGGGTTCAATACTGCGAGGATCACTTTATTCAGGCCTTAATTTCCTCTACAACATAATTAGGGTTCATTTAACTGTGAAGATTGCTTTCATACAATTATTATAATCACTGGCAAAAAAAAAACGTATTTTGAAGTTTTGGATTCTAGAATTCTCATCTTTAAAATCCCAAGATTTGAATAATCAAATTCTGCCCCATCCGCAAAAGTCATATTGATCATAAATACTGAACGCAATTAACATTTAATAATTTATGCAGTTTTAAATATTGTAAATTCGCATCTTAATATATTTGATAAGTTGTGACAGAGTTGTGACTCACTCTAGGTGATGGTGATAGAAAAGCTGAGTGTACGCTCTAAAGCCAGTTCTTAAGTTCGTTTAGGTGAAAAAAAAAAAAACTACTTTATACCAATTTGTTATTTGTGGTCAACTGATCGATGTCATAGACTTTCGAGTTCTTCTGGGAACGCTCGAGATTACCGCGTGCCGAGATGTCACTGTTAGAAAATATATTTCGATAGTTTTGCTGCGCTAACTTTTGAAGCCATCGAGAAAGGTAAAATAAAGGATAGCATGAATTTAAAATCGAAAAATTTGGAGAGCTCACGCATTTTGACAATTCATAGAGTAATAATTAACTCGTAATCTAAAGTTAATTATGCAGAAAGCAACATCAAAGTGTTTGTGTTAGTCATAAAACCGGGCTCTTTTATACAAACCCTGAGATCTTTTTCAAATTGGTCAACTTTTATTCTGGAGAAACTGGTGAACACTTCTTTGATATATTGTAATATTAACTCTTTACAAACAAGTAAGCCCATTTGACGCAATGTTTGCTAGACTTAATATTTGAATCAAATTAAATCTCAATAACACCATGTTACGAATACCCGCTTTTGCACTCTTTATAAGTCAAAAACTCTTTCACTCCAGAGCTATATCTGATTTGGAGAAAATTTCCAAACAAATATGTAGCGATATGCTTTCAGAGCACGAAAAGTCTTCGCTGAATCGCATATACGATAAGAAATATTGATAATTCACGCCATTTCAGTACATTTAATTTAGTTGATACGGCTATTAGCTTGGGTAAATTAGTCAAGAAACTTCACTAAATGCTGTCAAAACGCCAAGTAGTTGAAAGAAAAAGTCTTAAGAATATATTTCTAAATATAAAAAACAACTGATTAACATGGTCCAAACAGTGTCGCTACTAGTCTCACCAAATTATCTTGTTCCGACTGTTCTTGGCCCAATGCGCTCAAAATAAGCTTCTTGTCATCCAAGTAGACTTCTCCAACCGGTTGATACGGCTTATAAATTACCGAGCGATAACCACATTTGCTCATCTGGTGCCGACGTCGTTCATAATTCTCTCTCGCAACTTCTTTCCGAGTTGGAACTTCACAAGTATAAATCTTTGCATGTCGAGCTGTGATCTTCAGACCTTGATGTGATGGAATTGGCAAAGGGACAGGCCGTACATACGAGCGAGGGTTTTCAGAATCCGGCATTGTCTTGTCCGTGCAATATCGGCGTTGTGCTGATTCAGAGATCGGTTTTACATGGGCCACAATTTTGTTCAAAAGTACCCCACATGTTACCAAGGACTTAATCAATTTCTTCCGTCTGATTCAACGAGGGTTTGTTCGATAAAGACCTCGTTTGCATAAAATCAAAAGAACAAAGAGTATCGCCATAGCAACTATAAACAGTGTTTTGTGTCGAACACCAGAGCGCGTTTGACACACGTTCAAATGAGGAAACAACCCAACAAGAAAAAAGACTGCTTATAAACAGGTTCACGCTGCTTTCCCCATAAAGAAAGAAAAAGTTAGGGGAAAAGAAAAGAAGATAAAGGAAACGTCTTTGCCCTAAATATCAATATTTTATTCCTCATTGGTAATTAAACTTCCTCCCTTTTTGTTTTTGTATTTTGACTTGCTTTATTTTGTTTTGATTTTTCTTGTGTGTTTTACTGCAATTTTTTTATAAAATTTTTGAATTTATGAAAGCTAAGTAGCTGAAGGTTTAATTAATCACTTATATTCAGAAACTTAGCACTGGTAGGTAAACTGTATGCACATAAATGAAGCTGTATTTCTCGAACAGTTGAAGTGTTGGACATGCAGAACATGAGGCTAAATTTAACAGTGAAAGAAAATTGGAGTATGCTTCTAACCCTTTAACTTCCAGAAGTGATTAACCTATAACTTCTCCCTATAATATCCATACATTATCCAGAAAACAAGAAATGAGAATACTCAAACTTATCAGGTAAAAGTTATCTTGATCTAACACCAAATTCCTAACTAATTTAGGAAATTTGCAGAGGTTAGAGGGGAGAATTAACTTAGAGATCTTGATAGTTGAAGGGGTGCGGTTAAGCAGTTGACAATAGGCAGTGGTGGCAGTGAATAGGGGGAATGGAGAAATGGTAAGGGAACTGAAGCGAGAGAAGTTAGTAGTAGGGGTGGACAAACAAATGGTTGAGAAGGGGAGTAAAAAATGAAGACCAGAGAAAAGGGTATGAGGTGAGTAGGTGGGGTTAATCTAGTAACCAGATCCTTACTGTGTAACTGTAGCTGGGAGATCAAAATTGAAGAGTGAAGTGTAAGGGGTGGAGGGGTGGGGTTGATCTCATACCCAGGGCTCACCCTGTGTGTAACTATAGCTGAAATGTACAACCATTTGGCAGTGGAAGATCTAATGAGACTAGGGTGGGGTAGGGCTTTTCGGTAGAGGGATTGAAGTGAGAGGTTGAAAAGGACAAATAACAAGCAGGGAGAAAAAGGGATAGAGATTAAAGACTGGGAAGAATTGTAATGGGGAGGCAAGGGGTAGGCTTTTGAGTGGTGTAGTGAACAAGATTAAAGTGAGCTGTAGAGTTATTGAATAAGAGGCTAGATGTGGAAGATGAGAGTAAAAGTTATGACGATGAAAATGGCTCGGGACTGAGGTACTTTGTAGCAATAAACAACTGCTATGCTTTTCCTTAATTAAATTCAAAAAACACCTAAAATGCTCAGTGCTATTTGGCAGTTGTAATATTTCAGCTTGCTCAAAATACAACAACTGTGTCAGAGTATATCAGGGCACAATATATAGGCCATCCTCAATATATCAAAATTCTGACATGGCTCTGAGGCTTGGGGGAATAAAACAAAAGACATTAATTATTCATCCCTCAACCTCAATATCATCTCTTTTGTTTTATTTCCTCGAGCCTCAGAGCCAAGCTTGAATTTTAACATATCAAAAATGGCCCATTAAAATATTTTTTAAAAACTTAATTTTCATATATACTAACGATTACCAGAGTGATTCCGTACACAAATTAAAAAAACAGTCTTTACATACTACGGAAGCTCTGAACTTACAAGGGAAATGCCTGAAACATAACCAAGATATATTTAAGTTTCCATTTTGTTCCCTATTCTCTTTTTTGCATATCAGTTTTGGGTCTAGATTGTTTTTCTTGTTACATAATATTATTTATAGAGATCGATACCTGTAATTTAGTACAGTCTTTAAAATTTAAAGAGTTTTTTCTTTACTTTCCTTTTCCTACAACTTTTTGCATCACTTGAAGAATAACCTTTACAGAGATCTAATCCCCTTGATGGCTGTTTCCAGTTACCTTGAAATTTTATTAGATTACATTTCCTATGTTCATTTCAGCTCTCTTGATTCTTCTCCTTTTTGCAATCTTCAATGCACAGTACCAGAGGTAATTTCTGGCCATCCTCACCCAACCAAGGGTACTCTTTGGGCTTACATAATGTTTTCCCATGTGGTAACATGACATGTACATCTCCTGCATCAGATCTTACAAAGACAACCCCATCCACATTCTTAAGTCTCATCCACTCTGCAGTGGCTAATGCAGCAGAATGACGAGTGCCAAACCGTATCCCATTGGCTTTACAAAGTTGATAGTGTTGTGGAATGAACTCTAGCTGTGCTGCAGCGGCTAGAACTGTACCACTGTGTGAAAGCACAAAGGCACCATCCTTTGGCTGCATTTTCAAGGCTGCAAGCTCCAATGACATTTCCAACAAACTCTCTCCACAATGTGCCGCAAGATCATCAAGGAGCGACTCCTCCCAGCGATCTGATTCATTAGGAGTGCAGAAGGCATGCAGGAGATGTGGGAAAAATGGGTTGTCTACTTTTCTGGTCTTCATTTGACACACTTGGTTGAGGCAGTCCTTGTCTAATGTTGTTATTTTCACATCATTCTTGTGCCCCTTGTCAACAACCACAAAAATAGCACCTCCAAGCAGACTAGGACTGGTAAGCATGTTAAGTACAGTAGTCAAGGTGGTATGATACCTTTCCTCGTCTGATGCAGCCTTTGCAACCTTGGAGAATGCATTACAAAGGTCTCCTAGGTTGACTGGTTCTGCTTGTATAACTTCCAGGGCTTCTAACCTAATACAAGAAGTGACTGTATTTGTGGAAGATGAAAGAGAATAAGGCCCTTTGAAGGACTCAAAATGCAAGAATTTGCCCACAAGCAGCTCATCCAGGTAGCACTTACCAGGCATCAGCTTTAATTTGAATGGCTCTTTCGGTGCATCTACTATAAAGCCATAAATAAAATGGTTACTCAACTCTCTGTATAAGTCAATAATATTGGCATGCAGATACTTCAAAGACTCAAGGCTGATAGCATATTCAATTCCTCTAGTAGCATGGCTGCTGATTTCGTGACCAGTTTTTAAAACTACCCAGTTCATGAGTCCAATCACATCATCTGACACCTGCCAGGTAGCGTTGCGTGGGTCATGGTGACGATGATTCACAACAAACTTAGCTTCTCCAATCTTTCCACCAATGTCTGCATCAATGATACAGGCAATTTGCTCATCTTCCATGGAAAACCACTCATCTATAAAGTCAAACATGACATGAATTTGTATGGCCTGATGCAACCTTTTCACCCTCTCTTTAGGCCCCCAAGACTTCTCTGGCCTCCACATTTCTCTTGTTAAATCTTTAATGGAGTACATCATGTTGCTAGGATTAAGGTCTCCATGAACTTCTGCATGCTCAGTATGGAGAAACTTGAGCATACCTACAATGAATTTCAGGTTTTCAAGAGTCAAACGCCTATCATAATGGTGTATAATGAGCAAGTCTTATAAAAGAGTACTGGACGTCTTGGCTCAAACATACCATGGATTACTTTCAGAACAACATGACGGTTATCAGTTTGTAGCGAGTCAGTTTGCTTCTCAACTAAGAAGCAGCAGCCAAAGGCTCCACGTCCAATCCGTTCTGTGATCATATAGTCCAGAGGTAGTTCATGTTGAAAATGGAGCCTAGCCATATTGACATCCAAATCTTCAAAGCCACTGTAGTTCTCTCCATCTAAAATTGCCAAACTTTCACATTTAACTTCTTGCCGTGGTGAAACATAACCCTTGTCCCTAAATAGATTTCTCTTTGCCCCTTCAAATTCCTCTCCATGTCCACTTTCATCTGATAAATTACCCGCCACGATTTCGTGAGGTAGCTCATTAGCCATTCTAGTTTGGTTGCTCTACTTCGACTGGCTCCTCTAATGACTGCAGATTCTCTGAGTGACCTGGGAAGGAGTGTTAATTGCTGCGTTTGCGTGGAGCCCCCTCTTCTTGTGAGCGATAGGATCTTTCCCATTCGAGGCAAATACCAAGGGAAAAGACGCGGAAGTGAGCTAGCCAAGATTCTGAGTCGCTGTACGTAGCAACAACCGCGGATCCCTAGAAAACTCGCGCTTGTAGGAAGTTAACGCAGTGGTTGTCGGGAAGAGGTCGAGGGCCGAGTTGCTTGTCGTTGGATTTATTACGCTCGACAATAGAGAACTAGCACTACGCATATACTGACGCCATCTTGGTCGGGTTTAAATGGCCTCGATCTCATGCAATGCAAACCATGGCAGAAGAGAGAGAACCTGGGATTGACATTTTAATAATAATAATAATAATAATTTTATTTATATAGCGCTAAAATCCACTAATTGTCCAAAGCGCTACCTAATTACCCCACCTAACCCACCCCAGGGAGGACATCCATCACACAGTAATCTCGTGCGTGGGAAATTAACGTCTCCTACCCCCAACCCTGCAGGAGACGGAACCTCCATTTATTCGTCCCTATCCGAGAAGATTAGAATATCTAACCATTTCTTGATGTTATAGAAAGGCAGCAAATTCTTCTCAATTATTTTAAGATCCTCAGTGTTGGTCCGGCCGGGGCTCGAGCCCTCGACCTCCCGCACAACAGTCCAGCGCTCTATCCATTGAGCTAACCGGGAGGTTACCTCCTGTTGTTACTGGTCCGTAAAGACTTATTAATAATTCTCGCATCAGGGTTACCCGTTTCTCCAACAATTTTTGCGACAGAAGATCTGCCGGATCTTTGTTTGATAGTTGGTACGTTCCATTCTCATTAGAGAAGACGTCATGGCCTGATGAGTGTGGGTGTCCAAGGCACGCTCTATGTCTGCAAGGAGGGGTCATTGCATTTCCTTCATGGTGTTTGCTTCTGGCCCTTTATTTCCTTTTTGCTGTCATTTTAGCATGATAATGACATCCGCAGAGGTTATCCATGGAAAATGAGACTGGTGAGAAAAAATGATATTGCACTGGCGATCCATTGTAAATGGCGATTTCGGGAATTTAACGGCAGTTTTTATGTCGTCAATAAAATCCTAAGATAGCTATTTAAACTTGAACGTAAATATTAAACACGTAACTTTAAAAAAACTTCGTAGAACCCAAAAGTTAAGTCGGTTTAAAGAGTCTCCAAAACTCAAGATAGTAATATCGTTTACGACAATTCCATAGGAAATATTTCACTTGGGCTTCTAGACAAACATAGCAAACTAGTCTATATGTTACTAGTTGTAATGTATTGGGTACCCATAATGCCAAGCAAATTATTCAAGTACCCAGAAAGCTGAGCGAAATACAGCTGTGTTAAGAAGGGCTACGATGTTTGCTGCTTCGTGTTTTTCATAATAAGCAAAATTAAGCGAAATTAACTCTCTCGCAGCCATCATTACTTTGAATTGCCAACCTCGTTCCCAAAGCCCCACCTCCAAGTAAGGGAAAATTTCCTGGGAACGAGGTCGTATGATTTACTTTTAAGTGCATCTAGTACATTATTTAATTTTTTTTGTTAATTGCGATGTCGGATCTGTGAAGAACTCAAAATATACAGAAGGATAGCATTGTGGCCTAAGTTTTTCAAGCTCTAAACCTCCAATGCTTGGTTTGTCTTAAATATGTTCATAATTTATTAAGGCAAATGAAATCAAATCGTTGTTTCGAAGTAACTGTACATCAGTTACATGCAATGTTTTGTTTTACTGCGTGCCAAATCAACAGATTTTTCTACTTGGAAAGAGTTAATTGTAACTATACATTTGCCTAGTTCTGGAAAATTAAAAAAAATCCTTAACTATTGTAAAGAAAAGTAAAGGTAGTGAGAACTATATTTTGAAGAAATTGTTCATCAAATGTATTTTTAAGGGTGATAAGTACGATTTGCACTCTTGAACCAATTTTTACAATAAATTTAGCGATTGAAGTATTACTTAAGTGTTCTAAAAAACTATAATGATGCTTCTTTTTATCAAAGTTTTGTTCCCTCTCAGTCATCCTAGTCCTAAACGTCTTGTATGAGGACCACTTTAATATACTTGATACCAACTCTGTCCTTCGAGTCCTCTGAATAGACTTCAAATGTCAGACCTTTACTGAGCATCAGTCGGTTATTGTAGCCAATATTCTTCACGTATCCTCCGTCATGCGGAGTGTAACACGAGCCCCAGCGTTCATCCAACTTAATGGTGAAGACGAAACGACCTGGGTACATGAACTGGCGTGGCTTACTAGTTGCTTGTGAAATATATCGGTGAGGGGATAAAGTTTTACCAGGTACACCTTCCACTCCATAACATGGATGCATGTTGTTGTAATTTGTCCTGTCTCGCGTTTGAAATCCAATAAATCTTGCACCATCTGACACTCCATATCGAGTATCACTGTCAACGACCTGTCCAATGCTGACGTCATTTGCTACTGTGATTTCAATGGTCAGCGGAGTAGAAGATCTTAAAGCGCCAGGGGGTATCAAAGGAACTTTCAGGAGAGCTCTCTGAGCTACTGAGCCTGCGTTGAATGTAAGTAATTCAGTGGTTGATGTACGAGAGCTGTCAATGTAAGACGCATGCGCTTCTAGCCAAGATGGAGTCATAGTCTGGTGGTAAAGAATTTCTCCCTGTAAGGGAAGTTGAATTAGAAATATTAACTATTTTTCCAAATCAAGACTGAGAACAACTGCTATTGTCCCTCGAGGATTTTTTAATTTTATGAAATTCTGATTTCGCACGCATGTGCAAAAAAATACTAACAGAGATGTGATTAAAGTGTATAAGTTTCTAAAGAAACTATGGCGCTGCGTCGATGGGGGTAACAAGGTAGTTTGGTTTTATCAGCTGAGTTGATAATGTAATTTGGCCACCGTAAAGGATTTCAAAGCTGACCTTTTGAGCGTTAGCCCTTCGTCAGAACGAAACGAAGGGCTAACGCTTGAAACGTCAGCTTTGAAATCCTTTACGGTGGCCAAATTACATTATCAACTCAGTTGATAAAACCAATCAACAGAGATTGGTTTGCAAGTCAAGGCGCTGATATGCAGTTGTAAGGTTCTTATATTACAAGCTTCTAGTCAAGACTCTGAGAATCAACTATGTCGCCGGCATCATGCAAGCGAATGAGAGATTGTTTAGTTTTTTTCTTCCGATGATTGATCCACTATAGTTAGCCTCATGGCTAAGTTGACGACTCAAACGACTGAGCTGCTTAAAACAAGTACAATTCCACTCCTAAATGACTTCAAACCTCGGTCATGATTTATGAATTAGTTCAAATAAAAGCCTTATAAGCAAGTCATTTTCATTTTCCTAGCTAGAATGTATCGCCTTTTCTTAATCTATGAGTCAAATTCGAGGAGTCTTTCAACTAATCCAAGGGATTTGAGTTAGTTTGTCACGAACATTACCATATATTCATGATGTATGTAAGCTGATGTCGGATTTTGCGACATACAAATGTGACTCCTGACAAATAACCATTACCCTGTACATTGATTTTGTCCAGTTTTAAAACAGAAAAATTCACTTACTTCGCTCAAGACAGGAAATAGAACAAAAACATAGATAATCCTTATTATTCCCATTTGATTGTCTTTCTCGATGTCCGTCATACAAAAGTCTTCTCAAAATGTAAAGAAGCTAATTAGGTTTGAAGAATGCGGCGGCACACTCAGGCCTATTAGCACAATGCTTGATGTAGTATCCTTGACGTATCCCGAAGCTTACATGACCCATACTGGACACAACCACATCATCAAATATAAAGTACTGTGTTGCAACATGGTACAGTGATTGGTCTAAAATCCAGCTACTATGCTTAAAAACAAGAAAACACCCCTTTCAATCTAGCATACCCTCTGCCATCTTCCATCGGTAAAAATTTGTGGGGATTGTTGGCATGCATGAGTAAAGGTAAATTTCAATTCAAAATACGAGGAATTCATTCAATATTTGCTATCTAGTGTGTAATTGTTCCATTTCAGATATATTTATTAACGACCCAACCACATGAGAACACTGTTATATTAAGAAAATGATATGGGACGGCAGCAGCGCTCTTGACAGTCGATATTAATAACATGTTTCACACTTACCGTCAGGAATACTTTAAAACGTCAAGATACAACGTCGAGTGCTTGATATAACATAGTTAACATTCACCACACTGTACTTACCGATCTTTAGTCGGAGGCGCCCTCACAGCTGCTTCGGGAATATCTAAAGACGTTGCTATTTTCTATTCTTGGCGGGCCTCCATTTCTAAGCTAAGGTAATTCAGGTCGAAAGCGGAGCAAATCAAAACTGCTGACGTCAACAAAATACCAGCATTCAGCAAAGTGTATAGAAACTAGTCATCTGTTGGCGGCAAATTAAAGAACCGCAGAACCTAAAAAGTCCAGTATTTGGCTTAAAAAATCCCGAAGAAAATTTCTAGACGTAACTCTAATCTCGAACGTTCTGTAAAACGTTTCAGTCACGGTTCCGTTTTAAAACATTGTTTTTGTTCCTGGTTTGAATAGAATAAATGTTTCTTCAAAACCCTTGTTCAAAACTAACGACCTTACAGTTATCCGAGACGAAATAATACTTATCTGAAAGCAAACAAATTTAAACTAGAGAAAGGCCAGTATACATTAGAATTGTATTGAAGCTAAGCTTACGGCTCAGACTGTATCGTATGCAGTTAATAAAATACATGGAAAATATCATATTTAGTGACAACAAGGTGGTTAGATTCTTCTCAGACAATGCTTTAGTTCCTTGCCATTATGTTTATCTTAGTTTTTTTTTTCTGGCTTTTTTAAAAAGTAACAAAATAATACAAATAATGTCAAAACAGTACTTCATACCGTGCAGCCTGTAATATTTGAGATATTTCAACACTGTTAATACTTACGAAACTTTTACAGAACAATATTGCATTGCCCCCTAAGAAGCCAGTTCTTTATTTATCACCAGGATGGGGAGAGAAGGCTGGAGCATTTTGGTTGTGACGGTCCTATGGCCCCTTATATTCTGTTAGCGACGACTGATTCCCCCCCCCCCTGATCCCCCTGAAAGTCAAGTAATACCCCAGAAATCGTTCACTTTCCCCTGCAGGCGATAAATAATGATTGGTTTACGGTACTTTTACAATACAATTATTACATTGCCGCCTACGTTCGATACTGGCGCAATATCGGTCCAATACTTGTTTAATACTGGTTCAATACGTTAAAAAATGTTCTGCAGTATAACTTAAGCAAGTTAGCCATCTTGTACAATGATAACTTCAATGTACTTGATGCCAACTCTTTCATTTGCTTCGTCTTTGTAAACTTCTAGACTTAGGCCATTACTGATCACCAGTCGCCTGTTAAATTTCGCTACGTTTGTATACCCAGCATCATGTGCGGTATAACACGAACCCCAGCGTTCATCCAACTTTATAGTGAACTCAACCTGACCCGGGTAGAAAGAATCCTGCGCTTTAGTTGATGCACGATTGATGTAATTCAATCCGAATAAACCCGAACCAGATGGTCCTTCTACCCCATAACAGGGTGGGCGGTTGACATAACTTGCTTTATCAGGAACATGAAATCCGATAAAATTCGTGCCGTCTGATACACCGTATCTGTTATCGCTCTCCTCGGTGGTCCCGATTGTGACGTCATTAGCCACTGTTATCTTAACGGTCAGCCGGCTGTTACTCGTGACAACACCGGGAAGGAGCATGGGAACTTTTAAAAGCAGGGCGTGTCTCGCTGAACCCTTATTAAAAGTGATCTGCTCATTGGTTGTTGTGCGTTGACTGTCGATGTAAGACGCGTGCGACTCCAGCCAGAATGGAGACATAGTCTGATGGTATACAACATCCCCCTGCAAATAAAACAAAGACAGTGGATCGGAGGTTAATTAAAAACATTTGATTAATGGAGGAGATAAATCTCTCTCATAGGCAGTTTAGGGTGAGCCCCTAAGGGACATTTTAAATCGTCATTCCAAACGAAGGAAACGAAATTAAAAAATTTCTTCAAAGAGCGAAATTTTGTCGATTGATTTATGAAGTCTAGCAAACTTCAGTTGATCTAAGGATTAGAACTTCGCAGACTCGTTGTTGTGGAGTTTTTCGTTCTCCTTGAATTGCTTTTCGTGAGCAATTCCAGAAAGGTAATTTTACACATGTTCAGCGTTGATTGGCTTTTAGTCCTTCGATGATTATAATTTTCATCCTTTCGTGCATGCCTGCGAACAGATACAACTTTATCTATAGTGATCATTGGACCTAGTCGATGCTCTGCCAAATTTCTATTCGTCGTGAAAAAACGCAACATACAAATTCACTTACCTTGCAGATGACAGCTACTTGTCCTACGAAGGTAAGAACAATCCACAGAAACGCCATACTAAAGATTGCTTTATATGCGGGCCTCTTTTAGCAGGAAAAGACTAAATTGACTCTAAAGAATGCTGCTGAGTTGCTTTCTAGCAATATGGTATAATATTGTCTTCGTTCATGACATAGAAATATCCGCCAGAAGTTGACGCATAAGCTAAGTACAACTCTAAATCAACGGTCCTTGACCTTGTAAGAAAGAAGCCGATAATTCAATACTGTCCATAAATTTCAAGACTTCTAAACCGGAAGCCGTGATTTGAGATAAACGCCATTGCATATTGCATGAGTAGAGGTGTATATTTTTACCTCAAATGTATTGTACATGTATAAATACCGTTCCTTTGTTTGACCTCGATCGGGTTCTATTCTGTCCTCCTCTTAAGTTAGTTACAGACAGAAACAAACCATGTTTTGATAATGATTACCATCTTAGCTAACAGATATAAGAAATGACCATAGAAATCTAGGTCGTTCAATTTGCTCTAAGATTGAGGAAAGGCCGCGGAAAGAAACTATTGAATCTAAACTGTTCATAAGGCAAAGTTATCTCTATTTTGCCAATTGAGGATGAGCCTAAATCCCTGGGTGTTATCATGAGCATTTCTTATCACAACCCAAAGTTGCCACCATTTTGGACGCCATCTTGGATGACATCAGAGCATTACCCCGTCAGGTTCAACCTCGCTTCCATGAAATCTGTTTTTTTCTGTCCCTGGAGTGAGTGACGGGTGAGAAGGAAATGGAGCCTGGGAGAACAGGTTAAATTAGCAACATTACAACCTTAAAAATATCAACATCATCTTATGGTTTATCGAAAAGAAATTATTTTAAGATTAAAATGAAGAAATATTTCTTTATCACTCTGGTTAATGGAGATTCCTGTCTTATTAGTATGTACATTATTTTAAAACTCAAAAACTGTGAAATTAATCGAATTGTCCGATTGCGTGCTTCCTGCCGCTCTCATAGAAATACCTTATTATATACTATTTATTTATTTATCGATTGTTCTTTACTATTCATAATTTCTAAAGTATTTAGTTTCTTTAACCTCAGTATCTTTGTAACAATTAAGGAGATCTTGGGCAGTTCATTTACCCGCTTAGACAAACAAAAGTTCTAAAAAAATGTAACGAGGAAGTGTGATTTAAATTGAAGATAAACAAAGACACTACGATGCGCTGCATTTTCAAACTAGCGGAAAGTGCGAAAATAGTAAACTGATAACCTTGATCTGAAAAAGAAAATGATGCGAAATCGATTTTCAACCAGTTCATTTAAAAGTAATACTACTTGTTATAGGGGTTTTGTCAAACTACATCATATTTTCCGTTTAAAATTAACTGCATTTGAAATAAAACCATAAGGGCCACATTTTCACGCGCTAATTCTGCAAATCAATAGATATTTTCTGGCTGGCTGCTTTCACAAATATCACAACCTAAAATATTAAATACTTCTTTAAGATCAGGTATTTCTTTTAACTAAACAGGTGATCATAACACTATGTAAATATTTCGACATTTTACGCTCAGTGTTATTCAAAATACTGTCCACAAATTATCAAAATTGAGCGGAAAACTCTAGGTCGATGAAAATTGGGACAGGGAAGGAAGCTGAAATGCTGTCATGATTAGGTGGTCTTCAGAATTCTTTAGGACAACTCGGTCATAATGGCTCTGTGAATGATCAAACTAAACACAATTTAAACTGCAATTGCCCCGCGTAATAAACAAGAACACCTACTGAGTGGAAATCTTGGCTACCCGTTGTTTCTAGAACTAAATGGAACACTTTGGATATTTTTTCTATGCAGTTTTCCGATGAGAGAGGTTGAAATATCTCTCAAAGGAATATCGATTAAGTCAAATCCAAGAGAATGTGGTGCAATTAGATACTTCTCCTTCTTATATCCTTCGAATTCTGTTTATTAATCAGAGATCAGTCATCGAAAAAAACCCACAGGGTTTCTATCACTGGGTTGCCATTTCATGAAATTTCATTGTTTAATTGGATTGGTTGAAAACGATAAACATGCAGTTTTGTTTTGAGTTCAAATTTGTCAAAATCGTACACTATATTTCAATAAAAGAGACAAAAGTGAAGTCAGACTCGCTAAGTTCCTCGCTAAGTATTCCCGCAACGAGTGTCAATTTCATTTCAAAGGAACATTACCATGAAGTCTCAAGTGGCTAAACTGACTTTGGTAGCAGTTATTTCTCTTCTTTACTCAAAAGTAAGTACATCATTGTCGACCTACATATCACTAGAATCGTCCTTTGATAATAACTGAGCCTACTGGCCGTAAACAGCGGAAATTTTTGGAAGATTGCCTTTGCTATAAAGCGGTGGAAGAAGTTCTTAAAAGCCGTGACTAGTCTATCCAAACTCGTTGACTATCCTTTTAGATTAAACATTTAACGATGTTAGATTTACCGCATTACAGAGTTTTTTCATTTCTATGACTAAAAACCACCATTTTATTCAAGCCCAGGGGAAATCAATTAACCGTCAACAAACGGTTTTTGTGAGCTAACGAATTTTCGGTTTAAAATGTTATGTCTTTGTTTTAGCTCATGCTGTTTGTTTTTCTTGTCTTCGTTGGAAAGCTGATAAATGGATGGAAAGCACCAACCTCGTTCCCAGGGTCTCTCATCTTCCCACCCTTATCTCCCTCCAAGGGGCGGCAAGATTAGAGACCCTGGGGACGAGGTTGACAAAGCACCGTATTAGCTCAGCGAGGGTCTCGACAGCATGATATTTGCCAGGGTCTCCTTAAGATTCTTCGAACTGACCTCTTCCTTTTGAGGAGGAATCGTTGCACAGGTTCGCAGTATTTCTCATTTGATCGTATCCTTATTTTTCTCTTTTTACTTTTTTTTTTATCATGCAGGTAAGATGCGAGGAAGGTTTCCAATGCCCACATCCATCGTGTGGTCCGCCGAAATCCTGTAAACTTCAGGTTGGCCGCCCACTTTTTTATTGGTATTCTGACAAATTAAACCAATGAAAGATAATTCTTATGTTTTGTGGAGAATAACATCACTATACATTAAAATCCCGTTTCTAGACAGATCTCTCCCTTTTCTCCCCGAACACATGCACATAGAGAAATCATAAATTGCTGTCGTTCTGCGTTTTAGGATAGGTTGATTTATCATCAAACCATGACTCCAGCTTGGCTCGAAGGCCATGCCTCGTACATTGACCTTGCTCATACCACAACAGCGGACATGATCTCGTTTCAATTAACTTCCACCGTGAGAGGACCCCGAACCAAAGACGCCGCCCTCTTGAAAGTACCTCTGATTTGTGCCGACGTCTTGAAAGACTGCTTACCGCTGACCGTGGAAATAACTGTTGCCAATGACGTCAGCATTGGAGGAAAGGCTTACGACAGCGACATCAGATACGGCTTGTCGGATGGGGAGACTTTCATCGGTTTTGAAGCTCCCGATAGGAAAAGCTATGGAAAGTCTTCACCTTGCTATGGAATTGAAGGAAAGTCTGGTAAATTCTTGAATAAAATAAGTTACAAAAACACAAAGTTCCCTAAGGTCAACAAGTACTCGTACTACCCCGGTCGATTCTTATTCACGTTCAAGTTGGATCAGCGATGGGGTTCGTGTTACACTGCGCAGGACCATGGCTTTGTAAAGACCGCTGGCTACATTAACCGACTGAAGGTCAGCAAGGGACTTACTCTGGAGGTTTACAAGACCGATAAAAATGAGAGGGTTGGAATCAAGTTTATCAAGGTGGCAATCACACAGGACTCGTCGTGTGTTCAGTAATTAATGAAAAGAACCTCATTACAGAGACTTTTCGCCTTGAGTCACCTGACTCTGTAGCTCACCGATCACTTTTGGTCAGCACGGTCAGTTAGAACAGTAGAATGCAATGTAATACGGTGGCTTTTATTCAACCAAACTTTAGCTAATTGAATCTGGATGAAAATTAATTTTGCAACTAAATAAAATGTGAGAGCAAAAAAAAAAGAATTGACGTGATTGATAACTAATTCTAACTCACTGAGGTGACTTTGTACTCAGTTATTAATTTTTGCTAGTCATCAAAGAGCTGGTTGAGCTGTTAGTTTTTGGGGACAAGAAGTCGCTGATTAGGGCAGCAAAACCCCCTCTAACTATAGAACATTCCCGGCTCAATCTCAATGTTCACACAATTCTGGTCTGAGTTTGACCAAGAAGACCAAGTCTTGGCAGCTTTTGTGGCTCTAAATTCGATCAAACGAAAAGCAAATTAGACCCTGCCCATTCGTATAAAGATGATATTAATGATTTTAATGCTTATAGAGCGTTAGGGTTCGATAAGTTAAATCAGCTCACATGCGCTTTAAGAAACTAAAGAACCATGACATGATACATGATGATATGATATTCGTGCCGCTGTGGTAAGTGCAGCTATAAGTATGTCCCTCAAAATGATCATAACTGATCTCTCATTGTCTGTTATTAACGGCCGCTTAATAACATAAATTGAGTGGAAAATTAAATGCATGGACAGTTTATCAGGGAGACACGGTTAAAAAATACTAATAACAAAAGGGCTCGAGCCCTGACTGATCATGAGTCATAGTGCGCGTGTTCCAGGGTAACTGAGACATTTTACTCTGACAGAGCCTCTCTTTATCAAGAAGTACAAAAATGCAAACTGTCGGGTAGACATTTGACAAACTAACCGCTTCATGTAGTGGAAGCTGACAGAAGCTGTGGCGGCGATAGGCCGATGGGTTTTGCGCGCCCGAACCTTAATTAAATGAATTATTAACTGTACCAAAAAGGCAAGAGTAACCACGGCTCAGTTTTATTTCATTTTCGTTAGCCCAGACGTTTTACGTTTGTTAATAACAGTAGCCTTAATTACAGTCAAAATCTATGCATTTCAGGTAGAATGAAAATACTACACGCCTATGTGGTTTTGGATTAATTACTTTTTATAAGAGGTGCGAATATCAAAGAAGTACTAAACAGTTTTCGATCAATTAATGGAAAAAAAAAAAAGTCAATTTACTTTTGATAGTTAACCATGTAAACAAGCAAGTACATAAAAAAAACAAACAAACAAACAGATCTCTCCAAGAATATCCACCCGTGTTTCCGTGTTGAACTCTGTGAATGAACTCTATAAATGTTTTTATCTCCAGGATAAATAATATTCGGTTCCTGTCCTTTTAAATTCGGATAGAAGGAATGATTGGTCTGAAAACGAAAACAATTCTGCGCGTGATATCATTATAACAGGTTATCATTTTGTTAAACGTTTTCTCTATAGTCCCCGCAAAGGGAAAATTAAGTCAGACTTGATCTAAAAGTCTGTTATTTCTCTTTTCTAAGCTGTCGCGCCGAGTGCCTTGTTGATTCATTTCTAAAGAGATCAATTTTTTCGATGAAGTCTTCGAACGCTAAAGTAGCAGTCTTGGCCGCCGTCTTTGCCCTTCTTGTTCTTGCTGTAAGTAATACCTTGCTCTTTACAGTCTACAGTGTTTCGTTTTTTCTTTAGTTTTGACTTAGGTGTCAGCATAACGTTATAACTGAGGGTAAGAAATTAAGGAACCGAACGTTTGAGAGCACAATTAAGAATCTGAAAATCGAGGAAACAGGAGTTTTGAAAGACAGAAAATGTCATGTTACCGAGAGAGTACGAACGCTGTTCTAGTTACGACCATTCTGAGAACTATTTCTGGTGAACGTTTGTGTTGGCTTCACTTAACGTGACTGTTTTTTTATACATCAGTCATGTATAAGTGACAAAAATCTCTGACCACAATGACTGTTGTTGAAGTGATGCCAACTACTGTCTACGTAGGATTCTTATGACAGTATTTTAATGGTCAATGCTATTTTCTCCCCTCGATATTTAATAAAGTAAAATCGATCTTTTGGATGAAACACGAAGATCCATATTAAGTAACGATATCAGTTGCACCAAGGCTCGATTGGATCTAATTTGTAAATGCGGTTTTGCTAACATATCTTATTACACGATTCGGGCAGTCAGAGGGCCAATAACTAAAATCAACCAATCAAAATGCTCTATTGCCGGTCAATATTCTCTCAGTATTGGACCGGGCACTGTCCAGAACGGTC